TTGGGAGCGTGAAAAAACTCTCTAGCATTTTTTATAACCTTGTTTCAGCTTGCTCCAAAAGTTAGAATAGCTGCATGACTGTCATTGTTGTCATTTCAAATTGATAACTTCTTAAGGCTAGCATGGAGGTAGGAGATCAGCATCAGGTCTCCGGTGCAAGCTGACGTTTCTAGGAGGAAAGAAAAGGAAGGATTGTACAGGGATAAGTACAAGAGATTGTGATCCTTTCTCCATTAATACTCATTTTAAAACCATTTTCGATATACCCGAAACATAACATGTCGATAAGCCGGCTCGGCTTGCAGCGTGGCCGCGAGAAATTCAAACATACATCAACAACTATGGAACCTCTTTCCTAAGCGAGTAGTTGTTGAATAACAATTGAGACGAAGATGCACAACGAAGAACAAAATTGTGCACAGGGTCTCTGCAAATTTATGAGAACGAAGAGGTCGCCGTTTTGAGATTTAGGTCTCCAGCGGAAACCTACCGATGTAATACTACAATACGTTTTGGTTATTCCTAATCTCACTTTCATTTATCAAGTACCATCCTAAGGCCCTAGATAGAGCTTTACCTTCCTTGCTATGAAACTAAATCATTTACATGAAGGAAGAAATTACGCTCTAAGCAAACCTGCTATATGGCTTGCTATCTGCACGCGATTCTATAAATTAAAAAGAGATTTTGTAATTACCCGGTCTAAGCAGATTTTTGTTTTCCTAAGGTCCAAGCAGAGGTGCCTACAGAGAAATAAAAGAAATTCTCGGGTTGTGCAAGAATTACAAGTGGAGGGCGTCACGGTAGCCTTGGTGTCATTTTAGACGAGAATCAGACTACTGCATTCTGCCTCTGGGATTCTGCTTTTCTAGTAAGGAATAAGGTTTAAATTTAACCGTTGTAAGTACTTGCACTCGTAAATTTCCTGCAAATTCCCCCAAAAAACTGTATTTTAAGCAAGTGACAGCAACTCCCTAGGTTTCTCTATAAATGCATTAATCAAATGCTAGCTCGAATTCAACTTTTCTTCACCTACTATTTGGCTAACTCATAGCAATGATAAACAAGTTTTAGCTCAGGGAATTTGCGTTTTAATTTATTATCTGATTAATACGTGGGTACAGTCTCAACACTAATCTGAGATCAGATGGCTTATAATATGATCACCTTTATATTTGACTTTTTCAAATTATTATACAAACTTTATAGTATATCTCAGTTCTAATGGCCCTTCCACCTCTCACTATTAGAAGTAATAGTCAAACAAAAAACGCAGCCGTCTGACGACTAAACAGGCAGAAACCATTTTTTTGTCTTTTTATCAAAGATTGCAATCAAAAAGGAATTTAAACTTAGAATCTCATGGACTATGACCAGAATTGAAAACAGGGCTGATTTCATTATATAAACGCAGTCATCTGACGACCAAACAAGCAGAACCGTATCTTTCATTTCCTTATTATTCAAAATCTAGTCTCCAGATATCAGTAGTAAGATAAAATTAGTTTCTGCTCCATCAATACAGCAACAGATCCTTGCTCCTTTAACAAAAGCGAGTTATATAAATTATTTACCTTGAATGGGTTCACGATGAAACGGGCAAGGTATTCCACAGTAAAGTAGGCCATACAACTAAAAATTAAAAAAATATAGACTAAGGAAAAAAATAGATATGAATCACTAGTAACTAACCACAGCTCAAGCCACTGAAGAATGTAATGCGGTTCTTTCTGCTCATCCTGCAGTTCAGGCATTGAACTAAGTATCAAACCTGCAAAAAACCATATTTGCTAATGCCAGCTACAGGAAAATTGACTTAGCATACCTAATAATGAAAGTAGAACAAAGAAAGCGGAAATAATAGAGAATACTTTAGCTCCGAAAGATGAGCGCGGATTCTCCAGTAGCCTGTAGAGGCTGAGGCGCATTGGCCCCATCCAAACCTTATCGAATGACG